GGGGCATGCTCACGAGACCCCGAAGTGTTACGGAAGCTAGAACGCTCACACCGAATACGCGGAGCTCCTGGCGCTTTCTTGATTTGTATCTGACTCTATAGTACCGTCGTCTGCACTAAAACGCTTCATGTTTTTTTTTTGTTTTTTTTTAAAGTGTGGAGAATAGTTGTATTGGGACTTTCCAAGATTTCACGCTTTATGCTAGGAACTGTGTGTAGCCGAGAGTAAAATAAGTTTCCATTTGTCCCAAAACAATATATTCTTACTTCCCTATTCTAGCTCACACTTTAGGCGGCGTTGCGGGGCCTTAAAGGTTCTGGGACTCTATACGACGTACTTACTTTTACAAAGGTCGCTGTGCGTGCTCAGGAACTGATTATAAGGCCTCTCAGTGACAACTGCATGAATAGAAATAAAATACATCACTACTGGTGGAACACCGACAGACGTTATATTGGCACTTCATGTACACACGCACAGACATACAAAATACAAGGGTCGTTGAAGGTGGATCTAGAATTTTATGTCGACTCAGCGAATAAAATATCCGACAAGCGCGAAACTATATCACCTTTATGCAGTATCCCCCTTGGGCGTCCAGTCACCAGCGCCATTGCCTTAGATTGCGTTGACTTTCTCCGAAAGGCTCGTTATGCTAAACATGATCAACGATTTCTTAGACATATTTTCTGCCAACCATGAGCGACCCTTGCACCTACTGAGAAACCGTGCGTGCTGGGAACTAGCACCTTATAGTCACCCGGGAAAGCTAAATAGCAGGGATGGGCAGTATTTCAAATACAAGTATTTGAAATACGTATTTCAAATACTTTGTGTATTTTGCATTTGTATCTAATTACAAATTGGGTAATGTATTTGACGCGTGTATTTAAATACTAAAACGTGGGTATTTCAAATACAATCGTAACTAAATACAATTTTGTGGGCGAAAATACATCTTGTTTTTGTGCATGTGGTTGTAAGATATAGTCTCCATCCTTTATTCGGCCATGGGGCTT